TCTATCCATCCATCCATCCATCTAGCTATCTTGCCCCCTCTCTCCCTCTCCCTCACTCTTTCTCTTTCTCTGTTGCGTGCACGGCACTCTCAGACGCGCAGAATCATCGTGCGCGCCTGTTCGATTCCTCCGTGTGTATACTTGTGATATGCGTCTTCCACCGGTTAGGTCTTCGTACGCGGCCAGCGAGTAGTGATTCTAACGCTGTCTCGTAACACCACACCACACCACCGATCTCTTCTTCTCTCAGCCAGTTACAAATTGGCAAAACGGATCCGTGTCGATGTTTGACTGAAGGGAGAAGTGTCTGCCCGTCTGCTCTTGTGCCGGCAACGAAGACGGACCCCTATCGTTGTACGTACCTAAAAACCATTTACCATCGATCAGAGGCATCCAGGCGACATGACGGACGATCGACAGACGAGTGGAGAAACCGAAACTCGGCAAGAGCGAGCATGAGAGAGAAAGATCGTCTAACGTGTGCGACGAAACGTACCGGGGCAGCCAGTATGGCGCCGTCCTTCGTTTATCTCTTTCTCTAACCCCTTTCACTCTTTCACGCACACATTCGTCCCTTCTCTTTCATCGTTTTCCATCTCGGTTTGGCTACTAGTGAGTTTGGTAAGTCCGACCCTCTCTCTATATCCCGATTTTTTTCATTCGTCTCTCTCTCTCTCTCTCTCTTTCTATGTCAGTTACTTTCACATGCATGCGCCTCTCGCTCTCACCAGTAGCACCCTCAAGTTAACCACGCGCGTACACGTTCGACTGTCACCGGCGCGCACGAAGGATCGTTGAATTAACGAATTAGATTTCGTTGAGATTATATATATACAGATATATATATATATATATATATATACATACATACATACATACATACATACATACATATACACCGAGGTTCCCACTGGCTCGATGCTGAGCACCTAGTTTTGAAAAAACGGACACACTACTAGAGAGAGACAACCTCACCTCTCTTCTGAATTTTCGTACATAACCTCGACGAAATAAGAGAAGAAACTACGTGCACGTATATCCAAATTAGACGAAAACATCAGGAAAGTGACGCAAGTCGACTGAAGTGTTTCGGGGTCAGAGACAGTGATGGACAAACGGAAAAGGTATATATGCTCTCATGACACAAGATACACAGGACACATTCCGATCGGCGCGCGCTTACTACTTTTTCCTTCCCCCCTTTTACTGTCGCGTATCGCGTAGCCGTTCGCTTCGATAGCCAAAACACGAGATCCAGTCGCGAGACGAAGTCACTGGAAGAGCCACAGCCCACAAACACCACCTTCCGTCGTGTCAGGGCGCTCCGTTTCGTCGCCGCTGCCGGCGTGCGTACCCGGTGGTTCTTCACCGCCTCGGCGCTAAAATGGCGATCGAAGTGACAGCTCTCGCCTCCTCCTCGCCGGGTTCGGTCGAGCAGCCGCTCTTTTCACGCATACTACCACGCACTGACTATGTTCTACCTCTTTCTCTCTCTCTCTCTCTTTCTCTCTCTTTCTTTCTCTCTCTCTCTCT